GCCACTGCAAGGTTCCAGGGTGTGAGGAGCGGAGCTTGACCAGCACCTGATTTGGGGATTCTAGGTGGTACCCTAAGAACCTAGTCAAGCAGAACCCAAGAAGGGTTTGGGACCCTGAGTTCACCAACAAAATGTGTCCTGGGCTAGGTACATTGTGTGGTGTCCGGAATAACAGAGAAGCTGGCAATTACGCAAGAGTCATTAGAAGTGGGCATGGTAGCATATACCTGCAATCCTAGCACCAGGGAGGCTGAGGCAGGAAAATTGTGAGTTCAAAATCAGCCTGGGCTACAAAGTGAGATTCTGTTTAAAAAAAAAAAAAGTGTGTGTGGGTGGAGGGGTGGGGGTGGAGGGGTGGAGGTGGAGGGTTGGGTGGGTGGCTGTGGGTGGTAGAGGGGTGAGTGGGTGGGTGGAGTGCTGGGGAGATGGCTCAATTGAGAAGGTAGTTAGATCCCCAGCACACAAGTAAAAGACAGATGTGGTGGTGCACGTCTGTAACCCTAGCACTGTGGGGGGCAGGGACAGAGAGGGGCAAAGACAGGCAGATCTTCAGAGCTCGCTAGCCAGCCAGTCTAGCTCTTGACAGCCATTGTCTCAAAACCTAGAGAGTGACACACGGGACACTGACCTCTTGCCTCTGCACACATGGCTTTCTGTTGCTGTGAAGAGACACCATGACCATGGCAACTTTTTTTTTAAAGATTTATTTATTTATTATGTATACAACATTTCTTCCATGTATGCTTGCATGCCAGAAGAGGGCACCAGGTCTCATTATAGATGGCTGTGAGCCACCATGTGGTTGCTGGGAATTGAACTCGGGACCTCTGGAAGAGCAGTCAGTGCTCTTAACCTCTGAGCCATCTCTCCAGCCCACCATGGCAACTTTTATAAAGGAAAGTATTTACCTGAGCAGCTTGCAGGTTCAAAGATTTAGTCTATTGATGTCATGGAGGGAGCACGGTGGCATGCAGGCAGACATAGTGCGGGCGAGGTGTTTGAGACTTCTACATCCAGATCAGCAGGCAGCAGGAAGAGAAAAGCAACACTGGGCCTGGCTTGAGCATTAGAAACCCCAAAGCCCACCCCCCAGTGACACACTTCCTCCTACAAGGCCACACCTCCTTACAGTGCCACTCCCTATGAGCCTATGGGGTCATTTTCATTCAAACCACTACACACAACATATGTGCACAAACACACACATATACTGCATATGCATACATGTAAAGACATCATTTATTTCGTTTTCTGATTAGACAACTTCTCTGTTAAGCTTCAACTTAGCCAAGAGCTGCTCTCTCTCTCTCCCAGGTTCTCTGTCCTTTATCAACTCATCCATAGCAGAACTTCGAGTTGGACGAACAGAGATGCTGGGGAAGGACAGCAAAGCCTGGGAGGATGGTACCTCACTTGTCACATGTAGATAATATGTTACATGTACACAAGTAAAGATGATGTATTCAAGGTCAGTGAGCTAGAGAAGGGCTGCTAGACAATACCCAATGCATGAAATGCAACAGAGCACCCTAAGAAAATCACAGCCACATATATGCACACACCATACATACATGCATGAACATGTACATGCACACACACACACAGAGAAATGCCTGATGGATGCTTAAAAATAGAGACGAGGACATAACCCACTTTCTCCACTGACGATGTACATAGAAGAAACGAGAAGACAGGACACCCTCTGGTGGCCTCTCACCAGGCCTCCTATCCCAGGTCTGCTGCAGGAGAGCCAAAAGGAAGCAGGGGCAAGCACAAGGCATGTATCTGGGCATTGTGCCCATGAGCCCTGCTGGCAGCCAGACCACCACATGACTTCACTGAGTTACAAAAGAAACTAACCTAAGTGGCTCTGTCCTTCAATTGCTCCCTGCAGCCTGACATCTGCATATCTACATGAACATGTTCTTGTCTTTAGTGAAATGCCTCTTAAAGGTATCAGAAGCCACATGGGGAAAAGAGCGATCTTCAGTTCTAATTTGAGAACATAAAGACGTACCATGCTAATCTGTCTTTTTATGGAATTCTGTCAACACACCAGGAAAACAAGGAAGGCTCTCTTAGTAGCATGGCTAGTTAAATGGGAACGTGTACAAGGAAAACATTGCCGCTTGCCTTCTGGCTACAATGTCTCATTATCTGGGGTCTTTGCGATCTCCAGGCAGGCTCTGTCAGGAGGAGAGCAGAGAGGGGCTGGAGAGGCTCAACCTTTATTTGTGAAGGACTGAAGTTCCAGGGTTCCCAGCTTCCCTCTGGAAGCTGAGCCTCTCCTGACCCCCGAAAGAGGGCCCTTCTTCACTGAGCCACCATCACAATGCCCTCTTCCTCCTCTGCATCTTTATTCTGAGCCAGGGTCTCTGTAGCCCAGGCCGGTCTCCTCCGTATCTTTATCCTGAAACAGGGTCTCTGTAGCCCAGGCTGGTGTCCTGTCTCAGCCTCCTGAGAGCTGGCACTGTAGACTCATGCCATCACGCCTACTGTTTCATGATTTTCCACAGGAGGTTCATAAAAACAAGGCGTGGGTGAGCTAGGCAGCAGTCAGGCTACCCAGAGTGAAGCCCGCTCTCCTCAGGCTTCCCTTTCTCTCGCCCACCAGGGCTGGAGAAAGTCATGCACTGTTAGTTCCAGATAATTGGAAAGAGTGTCAGGATCTCCCAGACAAGAACTAGAAACATGCTTCCCGTTATCACCTCCCGAAGTGACTAAAGCGACAGTCATGTCTTAACTAGTCGGTGCTCACGGACGAGCTCTGATGGAGTGAGTACCCAGTTTCATTCCCAGGCCCAGGCCTCTCACAAGATGGTACAGATGACATTCAGAAGAGGCTATTGGAAGGCGCAAGGCTGCGGAATTTTCAGCTTCCTTCACCACCAAGCACAGTGAAGTCAGGTTGCTTCTGCCTAAGGCATTTGTGAAGTCAGAACCACATTGTGACAGTAGCAAGTTTCATCACTTTAGGGGAATGTAACAAGGTTCAGGGTCAGGAGGGTCCAGTGACTCAGGAATGGCAATCTCTGGTAGCTGGTGAGTCAAGCAGAGGTCCAGGTCACACTGGTGTCAATAAAGTAAAAGCTGCTGTGACACTTCTCTCATTCTTGTCCTTGGCCTGTGAGTTAGTCACACGCTTTTTGTGTGGTTCTTCAGTTATGTGCACCAACATTCCAACTTAAGGAAGCAGTACACATACTTCCTGTGAAGGGTGTGTAGGGACCACACAGGATCAACATCCAGTGTGTTCAGGCCTCGGGGCACTGTGATCTCTCAGAGATGGCTGAAGAAGACACATGGGGCAAAGGGAACAGGGTCTGTGACCTTTATTTTTCTTCCAAATTTGAAATTTTATTTTTATTTTATAGCCTCATGTTCTCTAAGCTGGCTTGAATTCTTGATTTTTTTTCTTGTCTCACTAATAATACTACCATGAGCCACTACATCCAGCCTTCTTGCCACATGTCTGCAGGGTTGTATTCCTATGGACTCTTAAACTCTGAAGTAGCCACAGAGTGTATAAAGGTGTTCAATAAGTATGTCTCTATTGGTATAAAACATTTACTTTTAAAAAGGTTTTAAAAATTGTATTTTATATCTTGTGGTCTCTGTGCTGATTTATTAAAAAAAATCTTCCTAGGCCTAGACATTAGCTTCCTATATAGTAAGACATCAATAAAATAATTTATTATTGCTCTGCTAAAAAATAAAGTCCTTAAAAATAAATAAAGTAAATCAGGAAGTAGTGGCACATGCCTTTAACCACAGCACAGAAACAGGCAGATCTCTCTGAGTTCAAGACCAGCCTGGTCTACAGAGTGAGTTCCAGGATAGGCTCCAAAGCTACAGAACAACAACAACAAAAGGCTGGAGAGATGGCTCAGCAGTTAAGAGCACTGGCTGTTCTTCCAGAGGTCCTGAGTTCAATTCCCAGCAACCACATGGTGGCTCACAACCATCTGAAATGAGATCTGGTGCCCTCTTCTGGCCAGCAAGCATCCAGACAGACAGAATACTGTATACATAGTAAATAAATCTTTAAACAAAAAAATGGGAATATAGAATATGATAGAATAAAAGGGTAGATTATTGAATCTACTCCGAAAAGGAAAAAGGGAGGATATAGATATGATAAGATAAAAATGAATAAAAAATGAATTAAAATGCTTGCCACACAAGCCTGGTAGCCTGAATTTAGTATCTGGATCTCACAGCAGGAGAAACAATTCCTAAAAGTTGTCCTCTGACTTCTATGAGTACATCATGGCACTTGCACACACACATACACACACACACACACACACAATTAAAGAAATAGACAAAAGCATGAGTTTTGTTGCTTGTTTGCTTTTTGTTTTGAGATATGTAGATCAAGCTAGCCTTGAACTCACCAGCCTCTGCCTCCTAAGTATGAGTGCTGAGATTAACGATGTGTGCTACTATTCCTGGCCCAATGCATGCTCTTTAATGCACAGTACTAGTTACCCTTTTTGGCCCTCCAGGGGCAAATATTGTGCCAGAGGATTATTAACTATTGACAGTCAAGATCAAGTTTGTGCAACCACATCAAAAAGGGAATTCAAAGCAAAAAAGAAAACTATTCTCCAGCCCAGAGAAAGGCCTGGATGATCTCACCTGCAGGTAAGCAGTGTGCACGGTATAGGGAGCCTGGCTTATGAGGTAGCCTGCAGGCCCAAACCTCCAGGCCTGCCACTCTTGCTGGGCATTGGAATATACTGACCAGTTACTGGAAATAATGTGTCGGCTAAGAGGGTTTGATGCTGATGGTTTTTTTTTTTTTAAGATTTATTTTATTTCATGAGTGCTGTAGCTGCATGTATACCTGCAGGCCAGAAAAGAGCAACAGATCCCATTATAGATGGTTGTGAGCCACCATGTGGATGCTCAGAATTAACTCAAGACAGCTGGAAGAACATCCAATGCTCTTAACTACTAAGCCATCCCTCCAGTCCATGACTCTGATTCTTGCCATATGCAATTTGTCCTGTTTTATTTCAAGGATAAAAAGAGCTATCTATGTAACTGTGGTAATCACCTGTGCAACTTCCATGGCAAAATTAAAGAAAGCTGGGAAGCAGCAGCCCTTAAGGAACAAAGCAGCTCACACTTTCCATCAAAGCTGCCCCTCTCAAGTGGTTACATCTAAGGTCATCTGACAGTTTCCATAATTAATTTTACAACTAAGAAATCCTGAGTCCTATTCCAGGACATGAGCTGCTCTGGGAGATACAGCATGACCATGAGAGCAAAGATCTGATCTGAATCTCTTGGTTTCTTTCATTGTGAGGGCTGGGAATATGGATATAGTTCAGTTGTAGAGGTCCTGGGTTCAATCCCCAGGACTGTAAACATTATTTCAAATATGTCAAAAATATTTCTTATTGGGCTGGATTTTTCTTCTCTAAAAATTAAAGCCATAACACTGACACAGGGAAAGTCACAACTTTCAGGCCACACTTTGTTCTTGTTTGGTGTGAGTTCAGGGCTCCCTACTACTTTTACAGAATCTTGTGATGGGTCACTGGCTACAGCGCTTTTTCTTGGTCAAATGATGACTAACCATTAACATCTAAGACAGTTCGTTAGAAGATGTAACTTCAAAGGTCAATCACACGCAGAGGGAATTAATTCCTTAACAAAATGGACTTTTGGTCTTCACTTAAAGGAATAGTCCTCCTTCAGTTGGAAGGCTTCAACTAGGCGTTCTCTTCTCTGGCATCATTTCCAGGGTGACGCTCATTCACAGAAGGACTTTTGCACAGCGACACACGCTGTCCAAGAACCACTCCACGGTGGGTCCAGGTACCAAAAGTGTCAGAGCAGCATCAAAGTCATGTCATTTTGTCACTGAGTCTGGATCTACCAAACTGAGTCCTGAGAAAGTGGACTAGCTTGGTCTCTGTGAAGAATGCCGTCCCAAGGGTCACTCCTAAGCAGATGGTCCCCACAGCGATGTGTGCCAGTCTAGCAGACCAGCCCTGATCACAGCAAAGGACCGCCTAGAAGAGAAACTAGTGTCACTGCCAGACACACCAGGGCACAGTTACCATACAGCTGCTTCTTCTCTTAGGTTTATTTATTTTATGTGTGTAAACTTATGTGCATATGTGCCGCTGGGTATGTGTGCCCCATGCCTTTAGAGAGACCAGAGCTGGTATGGGTGCTGAGAACTGAACCCGGGTCCTCGGGATGAGCCGTGAGTGCTCTGATTCACTGAGCTAACTCTCCAGCCCTACGTTTGGCCTCTACATCAGATAAAAGGCACAATGAAGAGACTGGGGGTTAAGTACTGCCCTTTGAGTCTGGAGAAGAAGCGACAAGCACTTATCAGTCTGTTTTGGATGGGAGGGGAGAGTCTAGAGGGAAGGACACTGGCAGCCTGCAGAAGTAGGGTGAAGGCTGAAGGGAGTCTTACCTCTGAAACACCAGTGACGCCACCACTGAGGGCAAACACCCCGAGGAGGACTGGCGACAGGCGCAGGCCAGCCAGGGGTCTGTGGGGGCTCCTCTGGAAGTAGTGATGGATGAAGTAAAGGCTCTGTGTGATCCGAATGCCCATGTTAAAGCAGTTGGCCAAGATGAAGCCCACACTGCCACACCAACTGGTCAGGAGGTAGGATAAGACCAAAAATGAGGAAGACAGTGCCAGCATGGTGAAATTGTACCTGGAGAGACAAGCAACATGGTGAAGTATCTTGCCCGAAGACAAGAACATTACACAAACATGGTATGTATAACATATGTATCTATCATAACACCTTTTTGTGACTATTAAACCACAAAATACATAAAAAAAGAACATTACACAAAAAAGTGGCCATATTAACTCACAGAGAGATCTGAGTTCATATTACTCATAATTCAATGTTTTTATGTGTGTTGTGGGCTGGGATGGGTTGTTTAGTTCTTGTGCTAGAGAAACCCAAGGCCTTATCTATGCTAGGCACGTTCCTTTGCCTTTGTGTGCGTTTCCTTTTTTCACTTTGTAGCCCATGCTAACTTTGAACCTCCAGGGTACAAGGATTATAGGCCTCAGCTACAATACCTGGCTCAGTCCTTAGTTTTGTTGTTGTTTTGTTTTGAGACAGAGTGTCCCTATGTAGTCTAGGCTTACCTCTAACTTACTATATAGCTCAGGCTGGCTGGCCTTCCGGAATCTCAATCTCTGTCTCTCTGTGTGTGTCTCTCTGAGGTACTCAGAGAGTACCTCACAATGCACAAACTAAGCATTCTTCTGTTTTCTTTTTCAAGACAGGATTGCTCTATGTTGTAGCTCTCATTACAACTGGAACTTGATTTGTAGATGATGTTAGCCTCGAACTCGCGGAAATCTACTTCCCTCTGCCTCCCAAGTGCTGGGTTTAAAGGTGTGTGCCACCACCTAGTTAAGCAAGCATTCTTTACTGAGCAACATCTACAACCCTAGGGCCTTAAACTCATAATCATCCTGCCTCAGCCTCCCAAGAGCTAAGATTACAGCCATAACCCATGTTTTTGTAACCCTGCATATGACATATAAGTTAACATGCAAATGAGACCCCTAAACAAAACACATACAATTCAAGATACTTACACTTCTTTTTTTTAAAAAAATATTTATTTATTTATTTATTTATTTATTATGTATACAATATTCTGTCTGTGTGTCTGCCTGCAGCCAGAAGAGGGCATCAGATC